TTATGGAAAACATGCAATCGTGAAAAATTATCGGTAATTTCAAAGCTCTCGTGGTATTACCCCCGAAAATTTCTCATTTCTAGAGAGTTTATCTTTGAGCAAGCAGTGTCATCAGCAAAAAATTACAACTAGAATATTTCAATTTAGAACCTCGAGATTAGCAGTTGAGATCACAATTTATTGCAAGTTGCAAGCATGGCAAGCAATGAATGTATTCCATTGCGTCATGGATTGCAAGCAAAATAGCTTTTCGTATGCTGCAAAGGCGATGTTTGCAGCATATGAAACTGAATTGAAAAAATTGATTCATTCCTTATCAAACCGATAGCACTATTTGCATTGCTTCATTTCGACCAAAAAATCGAATTATTATCTGATAACTTAAGCCTCCTGTTGAGAGTTCGACATTTGGAATGCAATCGACGAAGTCAATGCAATTTCAGGTCAAGTAGCCTTAAATTCATAATGGCAACGAAAGTTCAGCTTCCAGCTTGCAGCTGAAAAGTGGACTTCCCAAAGCATCGGTATCACACAGGAAATCCCCTTACAATCAAGTTGAGTCCTTACTGGGAAAAACGCCAAATGACTAATATTTTGCTTGCCCGCACAGCCGGATCATTTAAACAATTGTTGCTGATATTATCAGTTTCAGCTTTAAACAGTGTGAGAGACGTTTTAATTTAGCTTCGATTATTCGGTTATTTTTAGCGGATTTATTGCAACTAATTTCTAAATAGTGGAGTCCTAATACGGCTTTACAGTGCAATGGCTTCAAGCGATGAACATCAGCAGCATGAGGCCCATTCTGAAGACAGTGCTTTAATTTCTCCTTTACATGAGGATGATATAATAATTGACGAGGCTTCAGGGGTGGCAATCAGAGTGCCACCAACCTACGAGGATGAACGGATTGAGATTCCGGATGATGAAGGGGTAATTTGCGATTATTTTTTTAGTGAATAAGGAAGAGGCCAGCATGAGGTCTTACGGGATTCTACAGCAGGGCATGATTGTGATAAAGCTTTTGTTTTCAAGTTCAATTCAATAAAAACGTAGTAATCCGATACTAAAGATTAATTTGTCGAGTTTTAATTAACCGAAAAAGTTCTAATCTAATTTGTAAGTCCACACTTGTATTTTATGTTTTATTATTAACGATGCGTGGCACAAAGACAAGGTTTTGTCATAATAAAAATCAATTGCATTTTCAATTATTTACAGACGTGCCTGAGCCCTCACCACTAATGGAGCTGTAATCAAAATAAAAAGAAATAGACTTTCGAGGCCATTCATTGAAACTAATGGGTTTTTAGGCCGTCGTTCGGTAGAATTTCTTGTTGACGTTTCGCAAATACGAGTGGCTTGCATCTTCAGAAGTGGTTTGCTTGAACGCTTACCAGGGTTGCCAGGTCCGAAAATCGAGTTTTGGTAGATAAGCTCTAAACTTTTCGGTAGAAA